GTGTGTGTGTGTGTGATTTGATGGTCATGAAAAGCTATTGTTATGATTTCATCAAAAGTGCATTAAAGTTGCCTTAAATCTGTAGTCGCAAGTATTTCAAACTGCGATGAATTCTCTGACCATTACTGTAAAGCCTTATCTACTGGTATATTTATATATTATTGAATTGGCTTAATATTGTTTAATTATATCTTTCAGCAAGGAGGGTTAAAAATAAATGACTTAACCTGTACCTTCCCCTGTGTCTATCCCAGGTGTTGCAGCAGATAGCCCTGTACTTTGGGCATCCCACCTGTGGAGCTTACCTGTGTGAACACCTGAGTTACCTGGTGCACCAGTGGTTACAGGAGGGCTACAGGATCACACAGCTACAGTACCTGCTCATGGGATATACCTGCAGGAAGGACTTCTACAAGTGAGATCATCATCTTTCTGTTTCCTCAACAATATATCATACAACCTTGATATATGGTTTAACATTTAGCACACTGAAATAGCTGTTTGTAGACCAATTCTCTGTTGGTTATGTGCAATAGGATATGTCCTGGACAATTCAGGTTCTGATTCAACACAAAAAATGCTCATATTTTGGCCCCAATAGTTGAAGGAAGTCCTTGTAGCATAAGGCTCTAACACTGGATGCCTATACCTACCTTTTTCCCTGTCAACTTCATTGATTTCTGGCAAATATCCAAGAACCAACAAAACAAATAGGTGTTAATTGCCTAATCTGCTTGTTCACCTGTAGGGACCAGTACAGCATAATAGTTCCACACCTGGTGGTTCAGAAGGACATGGCAGCCGTGAGACATGTGGCAGAGGAACTCGATTGTGATTGGGTCTCGCTGCTCCACGCCTGCTTCCCTCGCGTGATCGTGAACGTGCTGCCGCTGTTTGCAGAGCAGGGTCCCGAGGAACAGTCTGACCGCAGCCTGGAGCGAGTACAGCAGGCGCGGGAGTGTCTCGATCTCATCGAGAAATCTATAGGTAGTCATTGTTGATTCATTTTACATCAACTAATTTTCTGTTTGAGGAGGCCAACAAATTCCATCCTAAGTTCTCCACATTTACAGACAAAAAGAAACTAATCTCCACTTAACATCACAAAACCCACACATTAAAGATGGATCATTCATTTCCACTGTCTCTGAAAAAAGGAGTACAAACCCAATAAGTTAGAATTTGGTAGTTTAAGTAGTTAGAGTAGTCACACACTATATAAAA